CGCATACCGTATACCATAAATCTCACAAAGCCCTAGACCGCCCCCTCTCCCCAAGCCCCTCAAGAAGTAAGCAAGCTTTTCGGTTTGGAGCTCTCTATGGAAAGCTCCCATGGTGGTATTGTCGAGTCTATGAGAGGCAAGCTCTTGAGAGCCATAAGTTTCTGAAAGTTTCCGTCGTTTGGTCGAGGGTTCTTCTCTCTCGCCGAAAGCACTACACCAGAGCGTAAATCTCTCAGTTACACCCCAGGCCTCAGAGACTGGAGCCTGTGGAGGAGGCGGAAGTGGCGGTGCCTCCTGGCAGTTGGCCGTGGATACAGACACTTCGAGATGATGGAACTGAACATGTGTGTTGGGTCCGGGTACTACAGCCGAAGGGTAATCAACCGCCAAGACATATCCACGTATGACAAACGCTCGTATATTTTTGGCACTCGTATATACATATGTTCTATAACGCATGTACTTGTGTACAGAAGGTGTGTGTATACATACAAACATACATGCCAACATACATACATACATACATACATACATACATACATACATACAGACATACATACATACATACATCCATGCATACATACATACATACATACATACATACATACGTACATACATTCATGCATGCATGCATACATACTTACACACATACATACATACGTACATACATACATACATCCATGCATACATGCATGCATGCATGCATGGATGCGTACATACATAATACATACATATGACTCAGACAACAAACAGTGTGAATGTGTCGCCACCTCGAAGGACCTGCCCCATCAAATGCTCAACAAACCGCCCATCACAGAAACAAGTCTTTGCTGCAAGCGGAAGCAGAATCAGAGTTTGAAGCGGCATTTCAGCCACGATCTGAGAAGCTTGCAATCTCAGTCGTCTGGTACTGCAGAGAAATGCCCTAGGTTTGAGCAACTCACAACAGTACAGTGCACAAAATCGGACGAACACAGTGTTTCTGACGATGGGCCTTGCATCCTCAGCTGAACGGCAAATAATATGTACAGCGCAAAAAAACGTGATTAAACTCGAACATGCTGCGAAGACTACCACTGTTGCTGATGTTTCTAGTGGTGCCAAATGCGTTGCAACGTGAACACCACTATTTTTGCCCGTTTTATGAGTGTTACATGAATGTTAGTGCCGCATGCCGTCCCACGTTCGAAAGACCCCGATAAGACTGATAGACCTCTATACAGGACAACGACGCATGATACAGAGTACTCACAGTCGCAGCCTTAAGGAATGCCTGTGATCTCCTGGTTCGCCGGAATCTGGAACTGCGCATGCGGGAGCTGGAAACCGATTTGCTGCAGTTGGCTTCGGACATGTTGCACATCTGCGCCATCTGCGCCTCCGTTTCAAAACCGAACCTGTGTACTTGCAGCTTGTATGTGCCGCTAGCCTGTCTTGGAAACCAGACGTGAAAGCATCGAAAAGCAAGAGCCAGGACACTAAAAGCAAATACTCCGACAGTCAAACCAGATGCCACCCAGTCTAATTTCTGAAAATGGGTGTTTCCGAAAATAGGGGATCCTAATATAGTACCCTAAATAGTAGGATCCTTATCCCAAAATAGGTACCCCTAAATTTCGGAAGCTCCCAAATAGGGGATGGTCCTCGTGCAAGCTTGGCATCCTCGAAATACGCAGAGCTCAAAGAGCACTGAAACCAGGTGAGACGGCCATCGCCGCTGGATGCATGCGGATCGAATTCCAAGTTGATGCTAAACTGTCTGGCAGTTCGGGGAGTAGCAAAACAGCTTTTGATGCAGAATGGCAGAGCTCATGGGCCAGAAAACCTTCGAGACACTGCATTAGAACCACCGCCGAACCACGACCCACCGATCTTTGCAACTTGCATGCAAGAGTTCGGGCTTGCAAGGGGCTGTATGCGTGACAAGATGCGTCCGTGAGAGAAATGTTGTATCGGTCGGGATGTTCCCCAAAACCGAAATGCATCTAAATGCTGAGCTTGTGACCGCCGGCGGCAAATACCAGAAGTATGCAAGTGAGGCAGTGGCCCGGTTTGTTGCGTAAGCTCCCTGTGCGTGGGTGGGGTAGCATGCCATGGCCTGCATCTATCACCTGCCCGTCGTCGCGACAATAGCAAGAAACAGAAATCACTGTGAGTTAAGCGCAGTCAGCTGTGAAGACACCACCTTGGAAACTCGGTGTCAACTTAAAGTTACCTTTGCCGGGTCTCCTTTCGTCGTACCGGAACTTGTTCATATTGCCGTTGCTGCTTTTGCTTTCGCTGCAGCGAAACCCATCACTCAACCCTTGTTGAGCCCTGTGGCTAGTGTTGCTACGTCTGGTGTCGATAGTGGTCGCAGAAGTATTATCAGCAGGGCCAGTCGGGTCAATAATAGTAGCACCACCAGAAGCAGCGATAAAGTGGTGGTAGTGGTGGTAGTAGTAGCAGCCGCAGGAGTTGTAGTCGTCGTCATAATAGCAGCACGGCAGGGTCAGGAGTAGAGTAGTAGTAATAGTAGTAGTAGTAGTAGTAGTAGTAGTAGTAGTAGTACTGGTGGTAGTGGTAGTGGTAGTGGTAGTGGTAGTGGTAGTGGTAGTGGTAGTGGTAGTGGTAGTGGTAGTGGTAGTGGTAGTGGTAGTGGTAGTGGTAGTAGCACTACTACTAGTAGTAGTAGAAGTAGTAGTGGTAGTACTAGTAGAAGAAGAAGAAGTAGAAGCAGAAGTAGCACTAGTACGTAGCTTGTCGTTAGGAGTTAGTAGTTAGTAGTAGTTAGTACTTAGTAGTCAGTAGCTAGGAGATAGCAGTTTTTTTAGCACTCACACTCGACAAAGCAGTAGATAGCAGTTAGTAGGTGGTAGTTGGTAGTTGACGTTGGTAGTTGGTAATTCGTAGCTAGTAGTTAGTAGTTAGTAGATAGTAGTTCATTAGCAGTAGTAGCAGTAGCAGTAGTAGTAGTCGTCGTAGTAGTAGTAGCAGCAGTAGCAGCATTAGATGTAGTGGTAGTGGTGGTGGTGTTGGTGGTGGTGATAGTACTGTAGCGGTAGCAGTTACTTAGTAGTGGTACGACAGCAGCAACGAGACGCGTTAAGGAGTCCTTCTTCCTACAGGTACCCCCTTGGCCCCAATCCCAACAGTATCCTGGCCTGAAGTATGAACCGACACAACCCAGGATTTGGGGTCAGCTGGTTAGATTAGATACTGCGAGAAAACAGGAGAGTCCGGCGGCTGAAGTACAGACTTCACTGCTGATGAGGCGACATGAGATTCAGCTGACGCCATCATGCACCTTGTATTCGTTAAGCGATTTGAACCTTTCTGAGACTACACAAGCCACGCAACAGCGACTCTGAAGGCTCCTTTTGTCATCGAGCATCGGCCCCCTTCCCCACCGTACTGCGAACACCCCAAAACTGCGGTCCAAGTTCACATCTAGCAGAACTCCGGTGAAACCACACATAAAGCTTTTGTCCACGTGTGCTCCGACTACATCCTCACTCCCCATGCGCATCAGGCTGCGAACTTCAATGCCCTGTAGACCTGGGCAGCGTGGCACTATCTGCTAAGCAAGCACACATCGTTGCACGGCCGGCACTGCCCCTGCATTACCAATTCAAGCCCAACGCACGGTGCTGTAAGTGTAAAAAGGCTATCATGACTTACACAAGTCACAAGTCAGACTGGGCACATTTGTGATACTGGATTTATAGAACGGTGGGTTCCAGAGGATCTCGCAGAATGTCTTGGACAAGGGCCCCTCGCAAGCTATGTTTGCTTCTGTTGTTGGCCTTCCTTGTGTGCATCCGGCACCATCGTTCCATTTGGGTGTCAGTTCTCTGCTGGTCATTGCTTCACGTCATGCTCCTTCACATCAACTTCCATCCCCGCCGTAGCCGAGAGACACCTGCTTCCAAAGTAAAGGATCTACAATCCACAAGCCCATGCTGCCGTTTGATTCCCTAAACCACTTCCTTGCTACTCCCTTCTGCTGCAAGCTGGCATCCACCGCAGGCGCCGGCGCAAGCGATGAAGACTTGACCTGGGTAGTATAGAAAGTCACCGGTGTGGTCCAAGTTTCGCAGATAAGCTGGCTGGGAAAAAGTGCCACTGCATCAATCTCCTAGCACTGTCAAGTCTGCAGATTTTTTGAATCGCATTGGTCCCCCCTGTCCGACACCCAAGCCCATACACCTGACGATGAGAGCAGCCGAACGCTATATCTGAGACACCCATGCACACGAAACTCGGAGTCCTTCGCTGTTTGGAATAAACGAATATCTGAAACTATTACTTCTTCTGCCCGAAACCCCAAATGCCAGCTCCCCGGCGAGGCCGGTTGTCTGGAGTCGCTCCATGAGTTGTGTCAGAAAAAGCAGAGCATAGCGCTCTACCTGACTAGTCAGGTTTCATGTGCACTTTCGGGGATTTCAAGGCTTAGCTTTGGGGCTTCGGGGAAGTTCTGGGGTTGAGGGGTTTGGGATGGTTTGGGTTTATGGCTTCAGGTCCGAGAGAGATTCAGGGAGCTGTGCGGTACTTCCGTTCAAACCCAAGCTCCAAAACTCTCAAACGATCAGCTCAGCCATGGCTCGTGAACAACTTTCTGGCAAAGAGCAATCACTGCTCATAGGTTGCTTTTTGTCTGCTCATGCCTTCCATAGCCGGACAATCGCAAATGTTCCTGACGTCAAACCAGAGACCTTCCCAAACTGCGAAGACAGAAAGCGCGCTCGCATTGGAACACCGGTAGAACCTACAATCTATATATATATATACATATATATATATATATGTATTGACAATCCTACGTTCCTTGGTAGCAGTCACTCCGCTCGCGCTGTTTTTTTCGGGATCACAGCTTTCCATCCATCAGCCTTACGATCCCTTTACCAGGCACATCCAAAGGCGATCAACCCCACATGAAATTGAATACTCGGTGTAAGTTTAAGTCTTAAAGTCATCCCACCCCCAACTAAGAAGGTGACGGCGGAAAGACTTTTGTCGAGCTAAGGGAAGATCAGGCTAAGGCCGTGCAGACGGAGCAGCTGAAAGAACGAGTCAAAATGCCGCTGCCACAGGTCGAAAGCTTCCCGGTTCCACTCGTAGAGCCTCGTTGGTGCTGTCACAGTCTTCTTTCCTTCTGGCAGGACGCTTCTCCACCACGCACCCTTGAGGTGGATGACGTGGGCCGTCTTGGGGAGGGTACCGTCCTCCGTCGACTCTGCGTCGTTCACATACTGCGTTGGCAGACCAAACATGTTAATTGAGACGGGTGGCTCGCCTTTCCGTAACGGCTCCAGCTCAATCGTCCTCGGAACGTTGCAGCATTGACTCACATTCTGCATCACTTCCAGCTCACTCCGCGTCAGCAGGAAAGCGAGGGCAGCCTGGGAAGGGCCTTTGAAATCCTCCAAAAGGGCTCTCCAACGATCTCCGAGTCGGCCTTCCTCCTCCCGCTGGAAGTAGACGGCTGCCGTCAGCGACTCCCAGGTCGCAAACCAATGGAGTGCTTCCAAAGAGTTTCGCATGATCAGCAACCCACCCTGCAGTCGCACAAAGCCCCTCTGCTTCGTGAAAGCCAGCTCTTCTGGTGAACCCCACGGAACGTGGCGGGTGCCGTCGTAATAGGAAAAAGCCACATCCACTTCGAGCTGCGACAGCAGCTCCAGGAAATGCATAAAGGGCTTCACCACGAGCATGTCTGAGTCCATACAAAGGATATAGCCAATCTCCTTAATGTGTACAAGCTTTTGACGCCAGAGCCACAAGTACTGGTAGAGTTTCATGGGCTGGTATGTGAGCTTCCGGTAGTTCTCGGCCTCGAAGGGGTCTGTGTGGGTGCTGAGGTACTGGTCGTGCTCCTCAAAAGGCACAAACTCCACGAAGGGCATCGCGCGCTGCACAACTTCCAGGATTTTCGAGGTGACCCCGACCACGGAAACCAGGGCCATGACAAGATCCGAGTCTGCATTTGCGCCGAAGAGATCGAAAGATTCCGCGATGCTCATGAAGAGAGGACCGCAATATGTCAGGAAGTAATGATCCTCCATACACGAGGTAAGGAGCACCACACGGTGGTTTCGGTCGGCCCCTGCTGCGGCAGCAAGTGACAACGGTGGGGTCACTGGCGCTTGCTCCTGAGCCTCTCGAAGACGCTGGCCGGCGGGCAACATCTGAAGAATCCTCCTCCACCTCTGCTCAGACTTCTTTCGCAAGCGCTTGCGTAGAAGTCGGGGCCAGCGCCCTGCACTCTTTGCCACGGATGCCACCGAGACCACGTCCATAAGCCTCTGTGCATTGGTCGGCAGCGTTGTCATGGACATCTCCTCGGACTCGGAAGCTGCCTCTCCGAAGCAGTTGCTACAGGAGCTCAGGACGACAGTGCCGTTGAAACTGTCGGCCACACCCAAGGAAGCCCAAAACCGTCCTCGCAATTCGAAGGAGTCGTCCTTTCTCTTCGTCTCGGCTTCATCCAAGGAGTTGGCACCTGCCAAGTTCAAGTCCGCTGAGAAGCCACGCTTGACGCCCGGGCTGAAAGGGAACTGAGCTTCCTCCAAAAAGCGATGGAGAGGAGCCTTGTAGACAGAATTCTTCAAATCCCTGGTGAGCCAAAGATATTCCTGCACCAAGCTTCGGTCCAAGAAAGGATACCGTGCTTCGATACCGTGCGCACCAGCTGTGCATTCCTCCTTGGCCAGATAGTCCTGCTGTGTCCCACGGAAGAAGTTGAGCCAAGGGAAGACCTCCCACAGCTTCTCCGGGAAAACTCCCCTAAGAGTGCTGTGAAACTCCAGCGCCCTGCCAGAACTTCCGTAGTCCGAGATGAGCTCATCTGCGCCGCTGCCCGACAGAAAGAGCCTGTGGCCGTCGGATGCGGCCTGGCGGTAGATCCAGGACAGCCCCGCAGCTGCCTTGTCGTCCAGGTTGGCATAACCCGGGCGCAGTTTGTACTGCACCCGCTCTGCCCTCTCTCGGAGGAAACGCTTCTCTTGCTCGAAGCTTTCAGTGGAGAGACGGGTGAGCTTCCACGTGGCATTCATGCTTTGCTTTGTCATGTGGAAGAAACGCTCAACCAGGACCTTGACGTCTTCTCGAGCCTGTACAGTGTACATTGCCGGCTGAATTCCGAGCTTGCCGAGTGAGAGCGCGATGGCCCCGCTGTCGTATCCATCGCTTAAGCACATGGCTGGAGTCTGCCTTCCTGGAACCATCTTACCAGCAGCAGCTCTTCTCTGCACTGCCATTCGGAAGGCCTTCTGCCAGTCTTCCATATGGGTCTTGTGCTGACGCAAATCGAACTCAAACACGGCCCGACGCTCCACGAGTTCTGGCGAGTGGGCTGCTTCGACGGTTGGCCAGGTGCGTGCTTCCACTGGATCGCTTGCCCGTGGCAGCTGAAACGTGACCACGCTGTTAGGTTCCACCTGTCGGAGCTCGTCGTCCTCAAAACCTAGCCTTTGCAATGCTGAGGCATAGGAGGCCACAGCAAATCTGCCCGACTGGCTCTTGGCATACCAAAGCGGCTTGGTTCCAAAGGCGTCTCTGACGAGGAAGGCCTCACCCGCTCGGAAGTCGAAAACGGCGATGGCGTATTCCCCATCCAAGCGGCTTGCGAATCTTCGGCCGAATCTCGAGTACTCGCTAAGTATGGCGTCCCCATCTGAGCGGAAAGAGCCTTCAACTGTCTCCAGTTCTTGCCAGTTGTAGATTTCTCCATTGAAGAGAGCTACGAGCCCATCCTCAGGACTATGAAACGGTTGGAGGCTTCTTTCACCGGTCATGTGCAAGAGGTTGTGCACGAAGTCATACCCGTAGCCCTGCCATCGATTAGTGGCATCGGGCCCACGGAATTGTAGATAGAAGTTGACATAGGTGAGGTTGCTGATAAGCCAGTTGGCCAGCAGGAAGCTACACATCTATCCTCCGGTCCCCGTGTTGGCGTGGGGAATTCTGCATGGCTTTGCGAAGTCGAAACCTTGAAGATCGTAAGGCTTTACTGCTGATGTCCTGATTCCAGGCATGGTGGTTTTTGCCATTACTCTCTGCATGGGCACCGAGTCATCCATGACCTGCACGATTAAATGTTTTTACAGTTCTCCTGACAGCTACATCAAGGGTCTGCATTGCTTGGGGTATGTGCTGGGGTTACTGGAGCCACCTCATTGGCAAGTTGTAAGAAACCGAATTGCTTTCGCACGCTGCGGAACACCACTGCCACATGTGCCCAAGCTTTGTCACATGTGCTTGAGACCTCGAAGTCATCTGCACAACCCTACAACCCTAGTCCAGAACGCAGAAACCGTCAAATGATCTTCGAGGTCTTACATGGCCCGAGTCGCAAGCCTTCCACGAAACTGGGTATGGCTGGAGCTGTTCTGGGATCCCTGTGCCAATGCACCCCTTGAGTTTTGTAAGACAATAGATCAATGATCCAAAAGTCTGAAGACGGGCGAATCAGCGATGGAACCAGGCAGTGGCCTCCGTTATCTGCGGATGGTAGAAGTGACCTCACCAAGCAGGACAGAATAGATAGGCAAAGACATGGCCTGAGATTTCGCTGGGAAGAGATTTCGGCCAGACCCTCCGCAGGCCAAACCTGTACCGAGGAACTTTGATTTTCGACCGGCCGTGACAAACCAGGACTGGCATTGCTGCAACCCAGCTGCAGTAGAAGAGGTACATCTCCGCCTGGCATCGGCAGTGCCAACGACAAGGTATCAGAAGCATTTGCGAGAAAATTATATTATGTGATGAACCTAGAGCCAACATGAGCGATTCAAGACGAAATTCAGTAGACACAGATCTGCCACTCGGTCAACAGGAGGGTAGTTGAGGGCATCCAAGAGCTGCAGCTTGTGTTGAAGCATCTGCTGCTCTTGCCTCGGACAAGTTCTTCACCGTGTGGACAAAGGTGGGGTCGAAGACCAGAACACCTGAAACCCAAAGCTCGAAGCCTGCTAAGCCGCAAGCCAGAATCCGGCGCAAATCACAAAACGGGTCTTGAGTCAAGGCAAGACAGAACAGCAGCTACTGTCAGGCACCTCCTTGTGTCAAAGTGGCCTTCTGCTCTCCAACCTGCCCCAGCTGCAACGACATCGGCACTCTGAGTTTCAGCTGTCAGCTGGTTTCGTTGATGGCATGGGAGATGACTTGCCGAGTGTGGCTGTCTGGATTGAGGTATCAGCCCTGTGGATTGTGGACGAAGCCGTATCGAGCCTCCAAAACCCTGAGCACCGAACATTAAAAAAACTAAAACATGCCCCCTTTCAGGCTTCGAGCCCTCTGTCTTATCGGGACTCAACCAAAACATGGATAGGGCGAGGTAAATGTAGTAAACTAGATGTGCCAGTATTAATGTCTATCTGAGTGTGTGCAGGCACGAGTATGTGCCGATGTACCCAACAGCTTCGTGTGGGTTGCGACATGATACAAGTCTACATAGCGTCACACCTGGCATAGAGAGGCGGGTTTTAAATCAGCTTTCGCAGTTGCATGTGATTGAGTTTGAAGCGCCTCGAGCAAAATGTGTTTGGATTTGCCGCCAGTGACACCGCTGTGGGAAGCGTCAGAAGCCGACGTCGTCTGCCCACCGACAACGATAGAGAAAGTTGTTGTAGAAAAAGAAGTCAACTACATCGTCTTGGGTGTCATTTCAGGGTTAGACCCACCCGAGGGCCATGAATGTGCTTAGACATGACATGCTTAATGGTCATAGTTTATCACGTGTTCGCTTGGTGCACGCTTGCCACCTTGTCTAAACTACACAGAGTTGCTTGGACTTGACTTGCACAACTTGTTGAATCTCGGCTGATAACTTCAACGAAATTCGATCAATGACGTAGTTTATACATTTCGGTGCTCGAATGAAGTAAGCTCGAAATCAGAATTGATCTCGGAAGAGCCTGGTGTAGATTTAGGTTTTTTCTCTCTGACGGAAAACTACGCAAACTACTCAGAGTTGGCTAGCTTGATCAGAACAAGTTTCGTGCAAAATGTCAGTTATCAAGTTTGGACGATGTGAATGCTCGCGGGTGTTGTGTGAACAATGTATGACCCTAAGGGTCCATGTACCCAAATAGTATGTACTTCGGCCTTAATGTAGTCCCTATACAGGTACTTTAGGGCCAATGTTCTACTATTTGGGTACCTGGACCCTTAGGGTGAAGGAAAAGCATCGTAAGTTGATGCTTCAGTCAGTACAACTGTGCTTCGGATCTCGGATAGACTCAGAATTTAAGCAACTCGCTTGTTCCATGACAGATGCTATGCGGCCATACTACACAACCTGGCGTGCGAAATGTTGCCACTTGAGATCTGAAGTAGGTTCATAGTTAATATCAGCCAAACTGCAAATTGCAGGGTGATTGGACAAGTCATGAAAATGTGCGAACTCATTCGCAGTAGGTAAGCATGTTTTGAACCAGCAGGATAATACCTTTCTCGGGCCTGCGTGAACCAGTAGCTTATCACAGTATGTAAGCAGGTTTTGAACAAGCAGGATAATGCCTTTCTCGGGCCTGCGTGAACGCGTAGCTGTAGCTGTGTTTAAGCCGTCTAACACCACGAAACATACTATTGAATCCATCCTTCTTTGTTTGGCATGAAAAGTTTCGGTCGAGCTTCTTGGACAGATGAATTGGTTGAAGCTTGTTGGGGCGATTATGCCGAACAATAACTGGACCTACTTTGGTTTCTATTAGCATCTGCATACGAACAACACTCAATGTGGTTGCCACGTCTTGTTAGTTTCGAGTGGGTTGAAGGATATGATCAACCCGACATTAGTCATGCGAGACAATAGAACCCGTCGCTAACAGTCGATACTATCTGGGTTCTGAGATACCTGTTACATGTAAGCCACTTGTAAGCCAGACAGCCAGAGCAAAACAACCGGTTCACACAAATCGAAGACAAGTTGATGCAGTTCGGCTCTGGAATCAGTATTATGTACGCCAGGCAGTGTGCAAACATGGGTTCAAGAGTTTGGGCCAACTTGAACTACTGGTTGCGTACTGCTATCATCCGTTTACCGTATCCATGCAACACCTTGACAAGATCGACAGCTACTGTACTCAAGGCTATTGCGCATCATGCTTGCCGCAGCCGCAGACATGCCATTTTGGAAGCCCGGGATATAGCGATTCAGTTTTCACGGGGTTGAACCCAATTCTCCCTAGTGCTTTCACGTACTCCCGAAGGTTCCTAAGCGTGCAAAGATTCCCAGTACCTTCCCCGCTGGAACCACCCCACTCCAGGATCCTATAGCACAAGGACCAACAGCGAAGCAACACAACAACAAAACAAAACACAACCATACTCATACACACATCTCATCTTATTATGCATACATTTATATCATGGTTGTTTACGGATGCATGCAGAAAGAGCTGATGCAGTGCATGTGTGTGTATAAACATAGGTCTTACATACAGACATGCATACATACATACATATGTACGCACATACAAAACATACATACATGAGTACCTACATGCATACGTGCGTGCATGCATACATGAACGTATGCATCCGTCCGTCCTTCCGAACGTCCAGACACATACATACATGCAGGAATTCCTCTTGACCGAAACCGGCCAACATCACCGCCAACACTCAATGAACCGAGCATGTTCATGATGCCCTTACTCCACACTGTTTCTAATCCGGTCGCACACATCCCTCTGCTTGCTGCACACAGACACTCATGCAGCCCTGCCAACAGAGAGGATAAAACTATGTCGTGGCCTTGGGCGCCAAATGCACTTCTCAGAAATCCCCCACAACAAGGCATCTCCGCCCAATTGGTTTTTCAGTGCCTGAAACCCTAAACCGAAAACCCTAAACCCTAAACCATAGACTCTACGCCCTTAACCCTAAACTCTACGCCCTGTCAAGCTTGACGCCCGGCCTAAACATCCAGAAGCTCTGACTACCAACTCAAGGTCTCAGCTCCTTCACCCTACAACCTAAACCTTAAACCCTACACCTTAAAACCCTAAACCTTAAAACCCTGCGGTCGAACATTTTGCCTACTTCAACTTGCTGACGTCGATGCTCGCGCGTGCACGATGTCGCCCACCTCAAAGCTGTACATGTCGGTATTTCTGATTATTTCCCTGCTGATAAGCTGCCTGCTTGCACTGTCATCGATCGCCTGGATCTGGTTCGGAGTCCAGCCAGAGGAATCTTCAATAGAAAGGTCAGCACCTAGCTCTTGGAGCGTCTGCAGCACCTTTTCATGACCCCGTACAGCAGCGAGATGTGCTGGAGTCTGCCCCTTGTCGTCTTGGGCAGACATGTCGACTCCCAAGATATTCAATGTTCTCCTGGGTTCCCCAGTAACCTAGGAGACAAAAGGGGCACCCTGTCTTGGTTAGTCGGGGTTTACAAGGGATATCAAGGGATCACAACCCCTAAAAAGGGAATAAGGGCACTACTGGGCATCCCAGTCTCAGGACCAACTCTAATCCATCATCAGCTGCAAGATGCGCCGGTGTTTGACCATCCGAATCCTTGCTGGACATTTCAACCCCCAGTTCCCGTAGCACCCGCAATGTCACTATGTGACCATTTCTAGCCGCATAGTGTGCCAGAGTACGGCCAGCGGCATCTCGAACGCGGAGGTCCTCCCCGAGCTCTGCCAATGTGCGCAGCACCTTCTCGCGACCACTCGCTGCAGCAGCCTGTCCAAGCGTCCAAAGGGAGGGCCGGATCCTGAAAGTCAACACTAATGGAGAATAACCCGCATCAGGCTTCTTTGCACAGGCTGCGCCCAGTTCGTGTAGTGTCCGCACTACCTGGTCATGTCCATAGCAAGCTGCCCAATGCGCGGCAGTCGCACCGTGCTTGTCTCGAACATTCAGGTCCACACCCAATTTGCTCAACATCCTCACCGTGTCATCGTGACCATTTCTCGCTGCTTCATGTGCTGGATCCTATTCTGCGTTTTGGAACCCTCGTAACCGTGAAATTGTTCGATCTGTTTGTTGGAAAATATAACCGTCACAAAACCAAAGAAAAACTATCTTCAAGGTCCCCCTAAGAAGCTAGGCCATCGGAGTCTGAAATGGCTAGGTCCGCTCCAAGCTCTTGCAAAGTTTGCACCGCCTTCTGCTGCCCATTTGCAGCTGCGAGGTGTGCTGGTGTCTTACCATTTGCATCCTGAGCCTTGAGATCAACACCCAGCTTTTTCAATATCCGCAGCGCAGCTTCCTGACCGCATCGAGCCGCTGCATGTGCTGGGGTACGACCATCGGAGTCTGCGGAGCAAAGGTCTGCACCCAGCTCTTGCAGAGTGCGTAGCACTACATGGTTGCCATGTGCTGCTGCAAGGTGTGCTGGTGTCCGACCGCTCTCGTCTCTAGCCTTGAGATTGGCATCTGCCTCTTTCAATTTGCGCAATCTCTTCTCATCGTCCTGTTCTGCTGCCTCATGCGCCTCGGTGCGGCCACGAACACACTTTGGTGTGTCAGTAACGGCGTCCACAGGCCAGACCAGGAAGCCAGGAGCGGTGTGGCCGTGATGGTATGTTTCGCAGAAGCGATAAATTGGAACCTGCAAATCTTGGGCCATATCAACTTCCTCTCTCTGCCCAGGGCCCAACACCCGGTCTCCTTCGACTATTTGCAGCATAACAACGCGCTCGTGATACTTTCTTGTCTCTTTGCCGCCTAACAACACCTGCCGGAGATTCTCAAAGTGGTCTCCAATACCCAGCTGTCCATCTCCACCTTTGAGGTGGTATCGAAAGCTATAGGCCCAGCAATCTTCCTGAGTTGGCTTTCCACTGGGCCTGCAAAGCCCCTTGCAGCAACGACCATCCTTTTGAATGTTGCACAGCTTCTTGGATACGGTGTTGGGATAGTAAAGATAACCACCAGAATCCCTGTAGGCAGTTCGAAACAAGTGCCCGACAAAGAAGGCTGATGACTGTGGGCGCTTCCTTTTGTCGAGCGGCTGAAGAGCTGTAAGGTCATGACTAATGCTCTCGTACCGAACACTGCACACAACGGCGCATCGCTCTCCATTCACTTCCCAAGGAAATGTCGCGGCCCTGTCCAGAAACCTATCTTCCGTAAGGAACAGCGACCCAGGATCTCCAGGAGTTGGAACTTGGATTCGGAGTGGCTCAAAGTGTTGGGCTTGACATGTCATGACTGCGGCAGAGCTGGATGGGGTTGGTTTAGGGTATTATGGGTATTGCAGACTCCCAAGCAGTGCAAACACTGCTACTGGGCTCAGGAAGGGTTGTTCCTGCGCCTCTGCTCCTGACGCCTAGGTTTCCCTTATGGCTTTTCAGCATCAGAAGAATCGCAGGTTCGGGGCTTGTACAAAGAGGTCAAAAACGTTGTATTTCGCTGAGAGCTCAAAGGAGCTCCTTCGAGCCAAGTGCACTGCGATCGCAGAACTAGAGCAAGATATTCAGCATGACGGACAACTGTACATGGTCGTCATGCAGAACATGGGTTTACCTTTACTTCATGTGCACATGTAAGACATATCATTCACTCCCGATATCATGGTTCATCATCGCCATATACGGCGAGCTTGAGGAGCACGTCGAGGAGAAAGGTATCATCCATATCATCGTCCATGACTTCCTTCCTCATCCTGATAAAGGTAAACCCGAAATCTACCCTTGTCATGTTTGACATACAGCTTAAGCTATACGTTTACTTGATGCGCCAAACACCCCCGCGTGAGGGGAGCGTCTAGCGTACATCAAAAACGATGAATTAGCGATGTTATGCGAGGTTCTTACGCGAAACACCACACAGCGTGCTCCCCCGACAAAATACCTGATAATCAAAGACATATGTCTGAGAAGGTTACCGACACAGAAAGCAAAACACGCAGCAGTGACTACGGGTCAACAAGCAGGCGCAACCTCAGCAGAGTACTGGCCGTCTCGCTCAAGCCTCGAAGAAAGTTGGTCGTACAATGAGTTCCAGTGGTTTAGGCTTTAGGGTTTAGGGTTTACATGGTCAAACCACCCAAAACAAATACCTCTTTCAAGTCCTGACAGAACAGGCACCAGCTTCTAGCACCTGACAGAGTGTAGACGAACTTTATGCTGGAGCTATAGCATGACTTCTACCCACAAACACCATTACCACTACAATGAACTGTCGAAGTTCTCAAACTCCGCATGGTACGCTTGTTGTGCTAACAGGTGCTAACCTTGCTCACTCGTGCACTCACGACTAAAGTTTCCATTGTCATCCTGATAATGTGTTTGCTGGAGGTAAGCCGGGTTTGGGATCGTTGCTTCGTGCTTGGTTTGGAGCTGGCTGGCGCCCTAATTGCAATACACTCCCGGAGCATACCATAAGTTAATAAGCCCGCTAGTCTAGCTTGAACTTGCATGGCGAGGTCATCTGGGCGCGGCAGAACTTGAGCACACAAAGCGTGACACTCCAGAATACTCCATGTGCCGCCTCATATCCTGCTGGCCTTAGAAATCCGAAACGTAGAAGCGTATCACTCACTTAAACCTATCCCCCTATACTCAAATGGGGGTTTCCGAAAATAGGGGATCCTAATATAGTACCCTAAATAGTAGGATCCTTATAATAAGGACCCCCAAACTAAGGTACCCCTTATTTTCGGAAACTCCCAAATGTTACCAGCAGACGGCTGGGCGAACGAGTCGATTTGATTGGTCGCTGTGAGGTTACGGCTTGCAGCAAGGCTCCTCGTGTATCCAGCACGGGAATAAACACCACAGTTTGCACAATTGCTGGGCTTGAAGTATGTTCCGTTTCCTACATCAGCTTTAGTTGGTAACTTAAGTATAGAATGCCGCCAAGTGCTTTTCGATTTTCTTACCCACCCGAGCTACTAGCAGGAAGCTTCACGGTCGAGGGTATGTACCTTTGCGGGCAAATGCCGCAAGCAACTGCCCTAAACCCTAAACCCTAAACCCTAAACCCTAAACCCTAAACCCTAAAACCTAAACCCACCAGATTGCAAGGGGCTCGCCACCAAAACTGCGGAACCTTTTGCCAAGTGGCTGAAGCACGAGATGAAGCGTGAGCACCTCGGCTCCAAGTGCCGGGAATAGGATTTATAAGGTGCACCATTCGTATCGTTTTGGGGGCTCGCCGACATCGACTGGAGGATTTTGGAGTGCTGGGCACATGGTTCTGTCTCGACGTATCAGTTAACTTCGGTCTCATCCCAAAGGCGAGTTCAACTCGAAGCAAGCAGCAGCCTCAAAAGCACGCAAGCACGTAGACTTGCTACTATCAGCACGATTTCCACAGGCCAGGGGCATGGATCACTTTCTTCCGGAGGCAGGCATTCCACACAATGTACCGTCCCACAGCCTGCACTAAGCCGTTACTAACCAAAGTCCAAACACTGCCAAGACTGCAAGCCTCCAAGTTCTCCTGCTGCAACGGCCGAGCTTTCCCTCTTGAGCACTCATGGTCGCATCATCAGTCTTTGGGCGCTGACGTCCACATGGCCCAATTGTAACTCGGGCCCTTGGCCCCTATATTGAGCAGCATCCTAGACCCCAACTTAATGCCTGGATAAGACCCATTATCCAAAGCCGAAAATTCTCGTGAACCCCGGTAGCTGCTTGCGATTTAGGCACCTTGGCCATAGGATTTTAAAAGGCTGCATTTTTCGACCCGGTTTACGACTGATTAATTCAGGCACAAACCTTCCTTATAACCTCTATATACAACTGAGTAAAGAAGCAACTTTTGACTGTCTGTGGATGGGTCCCAGGCGAAGTTGGTGTTCGCCTCATGCTGCATTTCAGATCCAGCACCCACACGTGCGAAGCCAGCCTCGCAAGATCGACACATCGACGCGTTGCAATCGGTCTGGGCACAAAGGTTTATGGATCAGGGGTTCCATGGTATGTTGGGTTTATTGTTGTACACAGCTTACACAGCTAAGACTTCGAGTGTCTTCGAGTTATTTGTGTTGTCACCCCTGGATGGTTTGGGACTGTCCCTGCTATCGATATGTCAGGGTTCACAATATTTAGGGCCAGTCTTTTATGATGCGGATGTCGTTGTTTGGGATCTCTATCAGTCCATGATGTGATGTTGTTGACGAAAGCTGATTCTTGCTAAAGTTTAGGCTTGGCATCTGGAACATCGGAGCGCAACCTTGCATGGGCTGGAACCCGCGCAGCGTGCTGCATCACGGTTCTACAACACATCCGTCTTTTCCACATGTCGTCTCCACCATCACTCATTTACTTTGCAGGTGCTCGCGGGCTATGCAAAACCAGCGAGTCTTCGGATGGGCAGGTGTGACCCGCTTTGTCTCCAAGCCGTGCAGCCGTGTCTCATGGGTAACTGTACTGAAATTACATGCATGTCGCTGCATGTCTATGGAAATGTAGGTTTTAAGTACTTGTTTGCATGACTGTGGGTATGTACGTTTGTATGTATGCATATATGCTTGCCGCTGATATGCCTCGGCAGGTCAAAGTGCACGGTCAAATTTGCACCAGATCTTCCCAGAAATCCGATAAGAAAACCGACGGTCCGCTGTTAATGCAGACCATGACATGCTGAGATCAAATTCAAGTCTGAGCAGTTCCAAGCAAAGCCGCGGATGGCTCGTTGTCTTCCAATCGGCTGAACTTCGGGGCTCAGAGAAATGCTCACTTCTTCCCGAACAAGGCGGTGTTTTCATCCATGGCTTAAGACATTTCAACTCGATCCTGCTTCTAATTGAGAAACTCGCTCTCAAGAAACATGTGTAATGTGTCTTTCCCTGTAGCTGCCTTGCTTCATCAAGATCCTCGACCCCTCTATCAACAGCGGTTTGGACATGATGTTTAGATCTTCGACCCTTCACTGCTCTTTTGCGGATAACTCTAGGTCTTGATCGCGTCAACCTGTCATCCGCGAACGCAAAGGATGCCCTTAAAAACGGGCGCATAATCGCTGCCGCCATTGCGTCGGGGAATCGTGTGTCCCCGGCAATCTCCTCTGCACCAAGGTCATCAACCACGGACTGGCATCAGATGATGAGTCGATACAGTTGCTTTGAAGCACGAAACCCTGATGAAAGACATCTTCACGTCCTGCGCGGCCACTGCATCGCCTACATGTTATCATCGGTACCATGTCACCGCATGCAAAGATGAAGTGCCGGTGTCCGTCTGATACATATGGTCATGTAGTCGCTGGAGCTGTGCATTCTCATTGAATCACTTACGGTTCGTAGCCCTGCTTCGGCGAGTTCGTGCTCTGCTTCTTCCGCTGCTTTACTCTGTTACTGGCCTTGTCCTAGATTCCAAGGTTGTCTGGTACTCATCCTTCCCGTCTTTGCTCCATGCCTGCATGGTGTTGCTGAGTCATCTGCTTCAGTTTATTGTCTCACAGGATGCCCCGGCACAGCCTATTGCAGTCATTGTGTCGGACATGCAATGCATTCGATTAGAGTCTTCTACTCTTTCTCTCTTTCGAGTAAAGCAGTTACACTCTGCCTGCCAACGCAGCGCGCTCTGTAACTACTTTGTAGTACAACCCAGCGCAGAACTTCAATACTGCCAAGAAAGGCGGCAAAGGAGAGGAATCGGATGAAAGCAAGTCTGGACATCTTGCCCGGCATGTTGCCCATTTGAGGCAGCCGCGCACGGCCCGGAGTTGGCGAAGAATTTGTAGAACCATTCTGTCCCGGCCCTCAAAAGCACAGAGTGTTTTGCCTTTCTCTTCCATATCCGCAGTGTCATGCTCGAAGATGCTAGTTTCTTCCACAGCTGGTATGTCGGGTCTTTGCAGAAGCTGGGACGAATCGTATTGCATGGTACGTAGACTAGCAATCGCTTGAGGGTGCCTGCCTTGCAGATTGAGAGTTGCCAGCTCCGGGGCGAAATTCTCCAGTTTCGCTACGGTTGCAAGGAGCCGACCGGCTAGTAACCTGGCGACACAGTCTCACCTTGCCAGGCCACTGCTGTACGCCGCCAGCATTGAACAAGGGGGACCGGAACGACTTCAGGAGCGGGGCCGGTGTTCCTACCGATGAACCCGAAGTTCTACATCCTTCAATCCCGGTTGCTTGCTCGAAACTGAAAGCCATACCACAACCGACAACGGGTATGTCAGAGCTCTCCTGGATATGAGAAAACGACTCACGGACTCTGCCGACGTCATCTTCATCTCCTGGCTGGATACAGACAAGGATAGGTGTTCTTTGTTGTGCTGTCGTGGCATGGCAGGACCCAACAAGGGCCAGAGCAAACAGAGCACACAAGGAGAAGGTCCTGTCTCAGTCGAAAGACTCTACATGTCAGCGTCGCTATGGTCAACAGCATCCCTACTCCAACGGTTGCAGGTTGCACAAGCACCCTCACAAGAAATAGTAGTACCCTAGGTCGGTAATATGCATTACTGTGAGCAACTTGCGGATGCAGGCTTGCATCAAGTTGAGCTGGGCAGTTATGTGGCAGTGCAGTAGCAGACTACATCGTCAGACTCGCAGAGAGTGTGCTGAAAGTCAACAACAGCCGAATGTTTCATGTAACCATTCTCACAAAGTTCACGGCTCAACCCTGAAATATCCTCAAATTATCCCTTCCCTTCACTGTCCTGAGGAAGACTTTGGGTTCTGGTCTGGAAGGACCTGAGAAGCACCACAGCACTTGTTAGCGCTAGGCGCGATTCGCCCAGCATGCGCAGGAGGCAAATGTCAGGCTATCTGAAGGCACACATAACTACCCTAAACCCTAAACCCTAAACCCTAAAACCCTTAACCCTAAAACCCTTAACCGCGATGAGAGGCTGGGCTCGTGATTTTCTTTGTGCAGATGGGGATCCAGGGACTCCGCGACCAGGCATGGTTTCGGGTTTGGGAAACAAGCATTTGATCGGTTTAGGCGTTGATGGTTTTGTGCTTCTTGGGTCTTTGCGGCTTTAGGGTTTAGTTTTCGTATAGAGTTCAAATTATATATAGAGTTTAGGGTCTTTTTCCCGAGAAGGAGGCTACAAGTAGGCCTGAACAGTATACAGTATAAGGATGAGAACGGCCTGGAGTCCTCAGATATTGCAGTTGATGCAAGAGGGGCAGCGACCCGAAACAGAATGTCGGAATCCCCCAAGCTCCCCGTACGCCCCAAACCCTGTAACCAACATGCTGAGGAACCCTGAACTGTAAACTTAACGGCCCTAAAACCCTGACACCACCCAGCACCCGACATCAAAAGCTGTCACCAGGCTATAGTGAGCTTCAGGGCGCTTTCGGGTTAAGGCTGGGTTAAACTGCAAAATGATATTGCTGCGAGGGCTTGAACCCGCAACCCTCAACCCTTCCAGTAAACAACCCGAGAGCCTCAACCTTAGATCGAACATCCCTAAACCCTCAACCCTAAACCCTTCAAGCCCTGGCCCTACACCCCAAATCCTGAATGGAGATCTAGCAGATACCTGAAACTCCACCAAACTTGGTGTTCTGACCGAAACTCAGGAGGCTGTCTAGATGTGTCACACCGCAGCTGGTATAGCTGCTGAAGAGAACGACTTTCTCACTTACCACTGCTACGGACAATGAGAATGATAAAACTTCGCCACGAACAACAAGTCTGCACACAGCTCTTGTCCCAGCAATGTGTCATTTTTGCTCTCCGTCTCGCTCGCGCCGGTGCTACAACTTTTCCCATGCCCTCAACGGCAGGGTGTGCGCACTCGCAGGAGACCGGGGTGCATTGGCGCTGCAATCAGCCTATTCTACGAAGGCAGCGTGTCCTGTGCCAAACTGCTCACATCAGTGCTTTTCAAACACAGGTGTGCAAGAAGACATTGGCCTTCCATGGGGTTCGTGTCAATGGCACTGAGGCAACACTCGAATTCGAGCACACATTTGACTCTCAGACAACATCTTGCAACAACCTGGCTAAGGGCCTCTCTGTTTCACCCTGGCTGATACGAACAGAGTGAACAGAGTTGCAGAGACAGAGCGAAAGGGGAAGGGACGACAGGGAAAGGAGCGAGAGACGAGCCAGGCTTGGAAATAATACACCGGCAGAAAGCACCAAAGGCAAGAAGAAGCCACATCAAAGGATGAAAGCAAACTAAGGTGAATGAGGGGCAGTGCAGTGTGAGACAACTGTGAGAAAACATGGGCTCTCACACACACACACACAAAAAAAACATTCACCCAACCAAGTTCAACTAATTCAAAGGGTGTCAGGCGTGCAGACAGTCAAATCGAAAGTAGGATGAGGCAGTTTGTTTACATGCCAAATAGGATGGAGCAAAGCAAGAGGATGAAACATTGAAACACGCAGTCATGACTGTGACGGCTTTGCTCCACATGTTAGCCAAAACCATTGGCACTCACCCCGCAGGTAGTGACCGACCCAGCGGAATGTTTTTACTGCGCAGCACACGGGACCACCATGTAAAGCAGACTTTAAATAAGCCATGCGCTGCATCACCACACCACAAACTACCACAACTTGACATGGAACACACGCATCACAGTGTAATGTTAACCTGATGCGACGGGACATCCCGCTCACCCGCGCAGTGGTGGGAATAGAGAATAGTAGTAGCAGCAGTCGTCGTCGTAGTAGTAGTAGTAGTAGCAGTAGTCGTCGTCGTCGTAGTAGTAGTAGTAGTAGCAGTAGTAGTCGTAGTAGTAATTCAGCAGTGGTGGTGGTAGTTGTAGTGGTAGTGGTAGTGGTCGTGGTCGTGGTCGTGGTCGTGGTCGTGGTCGTGGTCGTGGTAGTGGTAGTGGTAGTCGTAGTAGTTGCAGTAGCAGTAGCAGTAGCAGTAGCAGTAGCAGTAGCAGTAGCAG